GAGAAACGTGGCAGGGTACAGCTAGTTTCAAATAATTATATATAATTTATATGGTATTGATTCCTAGTCATCAAAGTTCTATTTGCAAGGAGTATATAAACTTCAACGTGCCAAAGATAGCTTCCTTTCTTGTTTTTTTTGCGTGTTTATCCTCCTTTTTCTCAAAATCAATGTAATAAGGTATTTCGACTTCAAATGATATTACAAACATAAATAATTTTTGCAGAGCTGTGTAATGTACATATATTATAGTTTTTATTATATTTTCATAAACGCATTTATTATGAATACTTTTACATTTTTAAGGGTAACCCAGCCAAACTTTCTAAGTGTTTTAACATCGTAAATAAGATGTTCAGTAATCCAATTAAAAGTCCACATTAGTATGGATTATTTTTATTGTGGCAGTAATAGCAAACATCAACCCAACCCTGGGAAGATGCCGAATTGTTTAAGAAGGCGGAAGAAAGACATTGTCGCTGTGTTTTCTGACAAAGTCAGAACACACACTTTTTGTTGAGACATACATACACACAAAGCCATTCCGGAGAAATTTCAAAGCTGTTAAACAAAGACCGAGATGTCTAGGGCAGTTGGCTTTTACTAAGCCATCCAAGATTCATTGAGTTAATCCCCAACAGTAATCTCACAAATGTTTTAAGTAGTTTTTTAGATATTATTGTAAGAAACGACTAAAACTTATTTCTAGCTTCTGTTTTTTATATACTATTTTATTCATCTCATAACCTTACACACATTCAGCGTGTTTTTAAATAAAACCAAAAAATAAGTAAAGCTGAAATTTGCCTGCTTTAATAAGGGAGTGTTTATTCACACATACTTTCTATCTACATACATATATTTACATACATAGTTTTAAGAAACCCCCCTGCATTACAAAACTTTTTAATTAATTTTGTTTCTATGTTCTGAAAAAAATTCTCTAAAGAAAAATAAATTATTACATTATTACCTTAAAAATGCTTAACATTAATATGTTCAAATAATTAAAGCTGACGAGACGAACAATGGAGCACATAGGGAGAGCAAGAAGCTTTTTCAAAAGCGGATTAGTTTTGGAGAAATTTGTGCGAAGGTACGAAAAACTACGTTTAAAAAATTAAACAATTTTTTACTGCTATTTAATGCTGTCCCCATTCTAACTCTTCAAGAAAAAAAAATAATTTTCAACAAACAAAACTTGTACGACATGATTTTGAAATGAAAACAATTGTCCATTTGTTTTTATACCCTTGCAGGGTATTATAATTTCAGTCAGAAGTTTGCAACGTCGTGAAGGAGGCACCCCCGACCATATAAAGTATATACATTCTTGATCAGGATCAATAGCTGAGTCGATCTAGCCATGTCCGTCTGTCCGTCTGTCCGTCTGTCCGTCTGTCCGTTTCTACGCAAACTAGTCTCTCAGTTTTGAAGCTATCTGAATGAAACTTTGTAGTTAGCCTTCTATATACTCTCACTCGTATATATGTCGGAACGGGCCGGATCGGACGATTATATCATATAGCTGCCATAGGAATGATCGGAAAATTTTTACAAAAAAAATTTTAACTTTTTCAGTTTTCAATAGAATTGAATCAAATTTAAGATATAGCCATTTTACTATACTCTACAATTTTGCATAAAATTTAATGAAAATCGGACTACTATATCATATAGCTCCCATAGGAACGATCGAGAAATTAATACAATTAAATTTATAACTTTTTCAGTTTTCAGCTGATTTTCATCAAATTTGAGGTATAGCCATTTTATATTAGTCTTAAATTTTATTTTTGTGATTTCATGAAAATCGGACGACTATATCATATAGGTGCCATACAAACGATCGTTTGATGTAGAGGAAAAATGCAAATCTGTGAATGTAAAACTGCAAATATAATATGTATAGGTGAATGAAATGAAAGCAGGTATTACTTCATTGTTTTTAACACAAATATATATAATTTATATTGTATGGATTCCTATTCATAGAAGTTCTATCTGCAAGGGTATATAAACTTCGGCGTGCCGAAGTTAGCTTCCTTTCTTGTTTTTTTGTGCGAAATATAAGAATAATATCTTTTTGACTTTACGTCTAAACCGAAATACATAACCGAAAGTGCCAAAATTTGTAAAACTAAGAACGAGGAAGCTGGGTCCGGAAATTTGCTTTTTTTTTATTTGGAAAGCTGGAATCGCTTACCCATCGGTGGCCCATGTTTGCCAACCCTTTACTTCTTTTGCCTCACGATCTGTTTTGAAAATATTCAAGTTTCAACATTTTCATAACTTTTCTAAAAGTTTATTTTTTCCCATGTTTTTTTTTTGGAAATCGCAATAACATTGTTTGTCTACTTTAGCCCACCCTTTAGAATTAAAAAAAAGAACTTTAAGATTTTCTAATCTAAACTTTCAAAAATATATTGGGTAAATTCGAATTTTGAAAATTTAAAAGCTGGAATCGTTTGCCCATTTTATACCAATGTTTGCTCACTAATAATTTTTTTTTTTGCCCACGTCCAGTTTCAAATAATATTAAACTTCGAAAATTCTGGTAATCTCCAAGTTTACTTTTTTACATTTTTTTTTATTGAAATCAACATAAAATTTTTTGCCCACGTTTGCCCACTGTTTAGAATTTTGGATAAACTATAAATATAGAAAATTTTCAAAATTATATTTGGAAAATTTAAAAGCTGGAATCGCTTGCACATTTTTTGCCCATGTTTGCTTATTAATTACTTTTTTTGCCCACGTCCCGTTTCAAAAGTATTAAATTTTAAACCTTTTTTAAATCTCCTCATTTAGTTTTTTCTAAATTTTTTTATGGAAGTTAAAATAAAATCGTTTGCCACTTTTACCCACCCCTTAGAATTAAAAAAAATACGTTTGCCTATCATCAACAACTAATAAAATCGTTTGTCAAAATCTTTAAAATAAATATTTTGAAAAAGAAAAAACCATTTGCCTACCCCTTTAAACTTAAAATTATTGTTTGTCCACCAAACAAAACACGATTGCCCATGTCTTAAAATTAAATAAAATCGTTTCCCCGCCCCTTAAGCCTAAATATTTAAACAAAAATAAAATTAAGAAATTATGCCCAAAAAAAAAAAATGTTGCTAACAATTTAAATATAGGGTTTTAGGTGTGGGCAAACGATTTTATTTAGTTTTAAGGGGTGGTCGAGCGTTTTTTGTTAAAAATATTTAGTTTCAAGAGGTGGTCAAACGTTTTTTCTTAAAAATATTTTGTTTAATTTAATTTAATTTAGTTTTAGAAAATGTGCAAAAGTTTTTTCTTACATTTTTTTAGTTTAAGGGGTGGGCAATACATATATTACAATACAATATATTGGAAAACCGGAGAAAATGTAGAATGTTGCATATTTTTTTACCCCTGCAGGGGTATTATAATTTCAGTCAGAAGTTTGCAACGCAGTGAGGGAGGCACCTCCGACCATATAAAGAATATATATTCTTGATCACGATCAACAGCCGAGTCGATCAATCCATGTCCGTCTGTCCTTCTGTCCGTCTGTCCGTTTCTACAACTGACGTGACCTGCTCCCGTCAAATCAGAGGTGTGCCGCTGGAGACACGCTAAGAGGATTGCTTCCGCCATGCCCGCCGGTAACGCCTTCCACCGAAGTTTGGGCTGACATCCCTTTTCTCTATTTCTGCTAAAAGTTTGGTTTATTTCCGGGGAACCACTCAATGGCGTTTTATGCCTGCCGCTAGGCGCCTCCAACCATGGCTAGTGATTCATTTCCTAAGGCGTTTAAGCGGAAGGAATTTAATCGAAGCCTTAGCTATACACTGTGCTACCCCGGACAAAGCATGCGCCACTGCATTATCATTGTATGGAGTAATACAGTGTCCATTGCCCAGCCGGATCCCTCGTGAAGGGTTCAGCTGGAGGATTTTTGCCAGCCACACGTGCTACACATGGGCAAATGAATATTCCCCTTCAGTACCAAAATTCCTTTCCTGTCCGATTCCTGGTGTCATGTTCCAAAAACAAAAACAAATCTCATGGGTTTTGGTAAGACAACTCCGAAACGAAGTAGGCAATGAAAATTCTACCTGTGTTCGGATACTGCCAAACAATTAATTGTTGTTTTTGACGGGATTCGGAGCAGTGGTTCCGAAATTAGATTGAGATGATGAAAATATTATTTAAAGAAAAAAATAATCGATAGTCTCGTTGTTGAAATCAATATTTTCGCAGCTCTAATGACAGCTGAAGTATTCACAAGTGTTTTGCAATGTAATTTATTAAATATTGTTAAAGTGTAAGTGACTTATTTGTATTCAGTTAATAAATTCATTTCCAGAATTGCTTTTGAACCTGGACTCTTTTTTAAGCTAGACGGTGTGAACGGAAGGCCATTATATATCCAGTATTTGTTTTTGTTCGCGCCACGAGGGCGCTTTATTTCGAGAAGCAGTGTGGGGGCACGAGCTTTCGCTCTCGCTGCTCCCGATCGTCGCTAGCTCCCTTTCGTCTCTTAGCCGAAGGCGACTCCGCGGTCCCAGCTGCCCTTGAGCGGGGCTTTAGTTTTAGTACAGCAAGAACTGCTTAATAAAGCAAACATATAGTGAAAACCGACGCCCATATACTTGTCATTTTTTTCTGGGAGAAGAACAGCCACTACAACACCAACAACAACCAGCATTTATCAGCCTGACCAGCGGCAGCCGACGAAATACTGAGCTGACGACGGCTACTTATTTTTGGACACCATCCGCCCACTCCTGTTCAGTTTTCTTCTTAATTTGTGTGTATATTTATGGAAAATATTGTCCATTTGATTCTAACATACATATGTATATACATATGTATTTTAATTACCCTTCAGTACCAAAATTCCTTTCCTGTCCGATTCCTGGTGTCATGTTCAAAGAACCAAAACAAATCTCATGGGTTTCGGTAAGGGAACTCCGAAACAAAGTAGGCAATGAAAATTCTATCTGTGTTCGGATACAGCCAAACAATTAATTGTTGTTTTTGACGGGATTCGGAGCAGTGGTTCGGAAATTAGATTGAGATTATGAAAAATATTATTGAACGAAATAAAAAGAATCGATAGTCTCGTTAGTGAAATCAATTTTTTTACAGCTCTAATGATAGCTGAAGTATTCATAAGTTTTTTGCAATGTAATTCATTAAATATTGTTAAAGGGTAAGTGACTTATTTGTATTCAGTTAATAAATTCTTTTCCAGAATTGCTTTTGAACCTGGACACTTTTTTAACCTAGACGGTGTGAACGGAAGGAGATTTTATATGCAGTATTTGTTTTCTTCTTAATTGGTGTGTATATTTGTGAAAAATATTGTCCATTTGATTCTAATATCCATATGTATACACATATGAATTTTAATTATAGATTGACGAGGCAACAGCCAGAAGGAAAGACACGTAACATACTTTTAGGGGAAATGCAAGAAGTTATGCTAAGAAAAATTGTGGTAATCATTGAACAAATTATAAAGTTTTTTAAATGAATAAATAAATAAAAAAAAAAAGTATTATAAATTTCTTCAGATATTTACTATGGGGCGGGGGGTTCCGGGGATGTTCTACACGTTTTCCTCTGGGATTCCGCCTGGTACTCCTTTGAGAGTCCTACCTGATTCTACTCTGAATTCCCAATGATTACTGCCTGATTCCTTCCCAAATTCCTGGATGATTCTGTTCAGAATCCCTTCCGAAATTCCCTTCTGATTCAGGGGGAATTCGTGTCGAAATTCACGACAAATTTCTAGCAGGATTCCTTAATGATTCCCTAAAAATTCCTCAGGTAGTCCGAATTCAGGTTTGCTAACGCCTACTGTATTCAGATTCCTGGATGGCTTGTATGAAAGCTCCCTAATGATTCAGGATGGAGTCTAGAACATTCCAACATGATTCAGACCTGAATCCTAAAGGATTGGTACTGCAGGGTATAGATTGACGAGGCAACAGCCGGAAGGAAAGACACGTAACATACTTTAAGGGGAAATTCAAGAAGTTATGCTAAGGAAAATTGTAGTAATCTTTGAACAAATTATAAAGTTTTTTAAATGAATAAATAAATAAAAAAAATTTATTATAAATTGCGTCAGATATTTACTATATGGCGGGGGATCCGGGGATCTTCTACACGTTTTCCTCTGAAATTCCTATCTGATTCTACTCTGAATTCCCCTACGATTTTGGCCTGGTTCCGTCCAAAATGCCTGAATGATTCTGTTCAGAATCCCTTCCGAAATTCCCTTCTGATTCAGGGAAGAATTCGAGCCGAAATTCACGACAAATTTTTAGCAGGATTCCTTTATTATTCCTAGAAAATTCCTCGGGTAGTCCGAATTCAGGTTTGCTAACGCCTACTGTATGGAAATTCCTGGAAGGTATGAAAGCTTCCTCTCCAATCCAACCTGTTTCAGACCTGAATCATAAAGGAATGGTACTGAAGGGTAGAGATACCTAATATTTTTAAATATTTTTCATTTCCCTTCAGTTCCATTCCTTTAGGATTCAGATCTGAATCATGTTGGATTGGAGAGGCCTCCATCCTGAATCATTAGGGAGCTTTCATACAAGCCATCCAGGAATTTCCATACAGTAGGCGTTAAAAAACCTGAATTCGGACTACCCGAGTAATTATCCGGATATCATTAAGGAATCCTTCTAGGAATTTATCGTGAACTTCGACACGAATTTCCCCCTGAATCAGAAGGGAATTTCGGGAGAGATTCTGAACAGAATCATCTAGGAATTTGAGACGGAATCAGGCAGTAATCGTAGGGGAATTCAGAGTAGAATCAGATAGGACTCTCAGAGGAATACCAGGTGGAATCACCAAGGAATCGTAGGGGAATTTAGAGTAGAATCAGATAGGAATCCCAGAGGAAAACGTGTAGAAGATCTCCGGAACCCCCCACCCCATAGTAAACATTTGACGCAATTTATAATTTATTTTGTTATTTATTTATTCATTTAAAAAACTATATAATTTGTTTAATGATTACCACAATTTTTATTAGCATAACTTCTTGCATTTCTCCTAAACGTATATTACGTGTCTTTCCTTCCGGCTGTTGCCTCTTCAATCTATAATTAAAATACATATGTATATACATATGTATGTTAGAATCAAATGGACAATATTTTCCATAATTATACACACAAATTAAGAAGAAAACAAATACTGGATATATAATGGCCTTCCGTTCACACCATCTAGGTTAAAAAAGAGTCTATATTCAAAAGCAATTCTGGAAATGAATTTATTAACTGAATACAAAGAAGTCACTTACCCTTTAACAATATTTAATAAATTAAATTGCAAAACACTTGTGAATACTTCAGCTTTCACTAGAGCTCTGAAAAAATTGACTTGAACAACGAGACTATGATTTTTTTCGGTAAATAATATTTTTCTTCATCTCACTTTAATCTCGGAACCGTTGTTCCGAATCACTTCGAAAACAACAACGAATATGAAGTCAGAACGTCGGCTGTAGCCGAACATAGGTAGAATTTTCATTGCCTACTTTTGTTTCGGAGTTCTCTTACCGAAACCCACGAGATTTGTTTTTCGAACATGACACCAGGAATCGGACAGGAAAGAAATTTTTGTACTGAAGGGTTGTTATATTGAGATTATAAAATTTAATAATTAAACTTTTTTCCGACAATATGTAAGTGTTTTTGGTAAACAGAGACTTGGTACAAAGTAAGGGATTTTTGTCTTATACTTCTTAATATTGTATAGTCATCATTGTATGCGGTGATTAAGCATGATTTAAGCAATCCTATATTTTTTAAAGTATGTTGTAAGCAATAACAAAAAGGATAGGGATTGTAAATATCCTTGTGGGATTTCACTTTCCAGTGGCAGGTGATGGGATTATACGTTTTGAATCTTGAAATGGAGGGGGGCGATCCTGCCGCTGAAGATCCTGTATTGGAAAATGTAGCCCAAGTGAAAATTCTTACGTCGCAAACGAAGGTGAAGAGTAAGGCGGGAGCGTCGTGGGCAATTCAAAAATCGTCAGCTTTATTGCGCTGCATACATGGTACTAAATAGCTTAAGTGTAAGGGCTGCGCTCCCGACCGATAAGCTACACTTAACAGTGCAAGAGCGGGCCCGAGAAGTGGAGCGCGAACTAGCCGTCCCTCAGCTCGCTTAGGAGCGAGCGAAGCTCGGGAACTCGGGAGCGGGCGTTCGCGAACATCGAAGAGTGGGCGCGGGAGCGCTTATACTAGCCCGATGAGCAGTGCGCGAAGAGCCGACTTGCGGGAGTGCAAGAGCAGCCAAAGCTGTGGAGGCTCGGTGGACAGAGGCGGCGCCGCGGCCGCTACGAAGGGCCTTCTGACGTGAACATTCTCCCCCCCTGGCAACATCTCGGGTTGCAACATATTCGTCCTGTATAAGCACTGCCGCGTTCTGCAGGGTGTCCTGGCTAGCGACGGAAATTGCCTATGCGCACCGGAGTGGAGCGGTGGACGGAGGCCGTGGAGTGCCTGAGGAGAGCGGGGGAGAGGCCCAGGATCGTAGAGGAGACGTCGACGTCGGTAGCGGATGAAGTTCGGTGGCAACCTCGGAATCCGTTGGATTGGACCTCTGATCAGAGCGTTCGCGTGGTGCGAAGCGGTGGCATCTTCTCGAAGCGCACTGGAAAAAAAATGTATCATTTAGAAGAGCGGTCAGTAAATAAAGCGAATTAGGAGCACGGAGTCATCCGATGCTGCGATCGGGGTGCGGGAACTAGATTTCCCGGCATATGCAGGAGCGTGTGGTGATGCTGATTGCACGTCTTGCATCGGTCACCACTGCGGCACTTGCCTTGGGAATGTTCGTGGGCCAAACAGTTGGAACAGTAGCGGTTGGTGGACACCGTGCTCAGCACTAAGCCTGAGGAACTTGTGGCATTTTCGAAGCGGATGGATTCCGCTGCAGACTCGGCATGGGTAGGATAAAATACCTCGGGAACGTCTGCTCTTGATGTCGTAGGATACCCAGTAATTGAAGGCGTTGGGATTAGTGATTCGCGTGGAGAACGCGGATATCCTTTGGACCAGTGCGGTTACTGGGCTGGAAGGTTCAGGAGCAATTTGAACACTGGAGGAACAGCTTCTGGGATGCAGCAGGGTGTGATGCCGTCTGCGGCATGTAAGGCAATCCCGCCACTGATGGCCTCGTGCCAAACAATTCAAGCAGAGTTGCTTTCTTCGTATGATATTTGACCTCTCGACTACGGTCATTTTAAGGAAACGGGGACATATTCGCAGGGGGTGGTTTTCCGTGGAACATAGGTCACACCTTCTGGGTCTGGGTGTTGGAGTCACTCTGAAGTCGGAAGAATGGAGCCGGGGCGCTGAGGCCCTCGGAGTCGACAATTTTGGCGGAAAATGCCTTGAGTTGGTAGGCGTAACGTCGTCGATGGCCTCCAGCGTACTATGGCGTTCGGTCAGAAACGCATCTAGCTCGTTCCAAGTTGGAATTTTGTCCTTATTGTGGATAGATTGCTCCCACTTGGAGAGCGTGAGCTTGGGGAGCTTCGAGGAAACCATGTACACCAGGAGGCAGTCCCAGGCTTCGACTTGAATGGCGGTCATCTCTAATGCCGCTAGACAACTCTGGATAGTGCCTTGCAGCTCCCTTAGCGCGCTGCCGGACTCTTGAGGGATAGCCTGGATGTTGAAAAGGATTTTCAACTGGCTGTTGACCAACAACCGCCGGTTCTCGAAGCGGTCGGTGAGGCTTTGCCAAGATGCGACGAACCCCTCATTGGTGAGCGGGGCTTTGGAAACAATGGCGTGCGCTTCGCCAGTTGTCTTGGATAGTAGGTGGAACAATTTCTCCACCGGGGTGAGACGCGAGTTGTGAATATAAACCGCCGTAAAAAGGTCTCTGAATGTGGGCCACCGAAGACAGTCACCAGCGAAAGTTTCGGTGTCCACCGGTGGCAGGCGACAACCAGCCGACTCCGGGACGGACGAGTTTGGGGAAATCGGCACGGACTGAGAAGCGCCCTTTTCCATCAACTCTTGGAGGTCGGCACTACATCTTTCGTAGACCGAGAAACAATGCTCATATCTGGACTGGAGCGTTAGCCCGATGGTGTTACTCTCACCGGATGCCGATTTAAGTTCAGAACAAATATCGTAATCCCTTTCGACCTTTTCCCACAGTGCCCGAATCTGATCGCGACGCACTTTACACGTGGAAGGAGAGGGCTGGGTGGTTTCTGGGGCATCTAGAGGTTGGATCTTTGCCTCGAATTGACTCACACGGTTTGTCGTGGCCATAAACTTCCTCAACGCAATGCCGATGACGGTTTGAGCCATTTTGTGGCCGAGCAGTGGATTTTAAAATAATCGGAGAGGGTCGCGGAGATGCGGACTGGGATCTTCCCAAACGGATTGACGGAATCGGCCGTAATTAAAATACAGGAATAATTTTTATTTTAATTTG